AACTGCTTCTAAGTATAATTTAAATATTTCTATTTTTAATTATAGGTGCACTTACCAAACCAACAATCAGTTCTTTTCCTCACCAGGAAAATCAGATAAGATCAAATTATTGATTTCAGCAACTCCTTGATTTTTGGTTGTCAAAATTGCACGTTCCAAAAGATATTGACAATCATTCCATCTTGTTTGTAGATCACTGTATATGTAATTAATTAGTTCCTGTAGCCGACCTTCGAGCATTATGTCATCGGGCAAACGAATGAAATCCTGGCCAATATTAGGGTAAGTGAGTTCCTTTCCCTCTCCAATTCGAAGAAGATAATCAGCGAATTCACGATCTTCTGCTATATTAGGATCATTCGTTTGTTGAAGACGCATGTTTCTTGTAAGTGGCATTTGCTGAATTGAATCCCAAAGATAAGAACGTTTAAGACTGGCATTAACGATTTGTCCTTGTGACCCACGAATAATAACTGGTAATATTTGACGAAAATCACCTCCAAGTACTATAAGCTTTCCACCAAATAGCTTATCAATGTCAGTAATATCACGTAATAACCTATCAATAGCTTCGAATGCAAATTTGTTAACCATAGGAGCTTCGTCCCAAACTATTAACTTTGATTCTCTTAACAGACGGGCATTCTCAGATTGTTTTGATAACTGACATGTTGAAGTTTCATTTAGTTTTAAAGGAATCTTTAATCGAGAATGTGCAGTTCGATCGCCCATAAGCAATAATGCTGCAATCCCTGATGAAGCTAGAGCTAGTGCGATCTGATTCCGAATAAGAAAGTAGGCTAAAAGAATATTATACAAAAAAGTCTTTCCAGAACCGCCAGGACCATCAATAAAAAAAATAGAGGGGTCTGGATTTGATTGTTCTGCAGCTGCTACTACAGCATCATATATTGCACGTTGTTCATCATTTAGTAGAGAAACACCTTCAAGAATCTGCTGCAATTTGTCTTGTGGAAAAGTTGTCTCTTCTATAAAAAGCTGTGTTTGTCTATTACAATCCAATAAATCATAATGTATGGCAGGTAATTCAGGAAAGTCTTCAAGGCTCTTTCCACATTGTCTAATGTGACCTTCAATTTCAAGTAAAGCATGGCTTATTATTAAAGAATCCTCTGGTGTGGTGTTTTGGCCAAGCTGTTGTGCGGTATATACAAAATCTTCTGTTAGAGCCGGCAAGTAAGCATCCTACAAATCTCTGACACCTGCTGGCTGGCAATAAACTAATATAGTTGCGAATAAGAGGCGTAGCTGTGATGGCATTTGAAAAAGGCTTGCTTCAGATAAGCAGTTAAACCATTCATCGTCACTTTCTAAAAGACCTAATTGTTGCGCAGCTTGTTTGAATATTAGATAGATGACACTATCAACTGTACGCAGGTTTTCAAATGATTTTGGACCACGAATGTGACATAGCAAAAGACGTAAGCAAAAGCGTTCTGGATCATTTGGTGGACAGTAATATAGTCTCTCAATCACTTTGTTTCCACTTTTTTTTCGACGGTGCCAGGCCCCTTTTTTCCAACGGAAGAATTTTGGAAATTCTGAATATAGTAGTCCTGCAGCTTCTGGATTATTCCTACATACTTCGAAGAATCTCGTGAGTTTTGTGTGTATGGCTGTTGATAAAATTTCACTTGGATTTGAACGCGCATTAAAAAGAACTGATTGTTGGTTTGGTAAGTGCACCTATAATTAAAAATAGAAATATTTAAATTATACTTAGAAGCAGTT